AAGAAAGAAAGAAAGAAAGAAAGAAAGAAAGAAAGAAAGAAAGAAAGTCTGATTGTTGGCAATTTACATTTAGGTTTAGAATTATGTCATCAAGTGTGTTTGCTAAGTATGATGTGCTAATGGGCATTTCTGTTCCCTGGGCTTTCACCAGTGGTCATGTAAGGGACATTCTTATAGAAGAACAGAGCCTGGGCATGAGCATAGCCATGCCCAGTCAGCAGAGAGATAGTGAAGGGCCACTGATTTCTGATTTCTGTCTAGCCCTTGGTTAAAGGAGAGCCCAGAGCACAAGCCTTCCAAGTTGGAATTAGTATCCGTGAACTGGAAGTGACCTCCAGAACTCCACTCCCTCTGAATCCTTTCCTTACGCCTTCTAAAAAGGCACCTCTTCTCACATCTTGAGTTCCATATGCTGGCTGGAGACATGGCCTCACGCCTCTCTTTTCCTTAGGCCTGCACTCTGGCACGGAGGAACGCCGAGGTGTTCCTTAAGTACATCCACAGGAACAATGTGAGCATGCCCAGTGTTGCCAGCCATACCAGGGGACCTGAGCAGCAAGTGAAAGGTGAGTAAGAGGCCTACCAGGCCACAGGTCACTTTAGTCGCATGCATGAAAGGCCAGACCCCCTCTTCCCCACAACAAGCTGTTTATGTAGCTCTGGTGTCAGCTCAAGTTCTCCTGTGCTTCTCCCACACAGTCTGGTGTGGGGTGGTGGAAAAACCAGCCCTGGTGGTTCACAGTCAGTGTCTTAACATGCAGAAAGATTTTCCCAAGTTTGTGTTTGTTTGCTTGTTTTGTTTTGTTTTGTTTTGTTTTGTTTTCCATTTATTGTCAAGCCTTGGGCCACGCTGCTTAGTGGAAAGGTTATCTAAACAACTGTTACTCAAAACATGGTGACCAGTTCAACAACACTGATATCACTTGGAGGCTAATACAAATGGAATTTCAGGCTCACTCAGATCTATAGTCAACACCGGCATTCTGCGTGCACTTAGAATTTACATAACAACGGTTCTGAGGTCAGGTCATCTTCATCATCTCTTTCAATTCTGTAAAGTCTGTGAGTACATGAAAAGCAACATATACCCTTTAAAAAGGCTTACTGACTGATCACATTTGGCCTAAATATCATTTCTCAGTGTTCACTCCTACCATACTGAAATTAGCCTTCATGTAGGAAATGAGTTTTACGTGCATCCTTTTGCCCAGTTTAAAAAAAAAAAAATCACAGCCCTGGAGACTAAGGCCAGGCAGAAGACCTGAGCTGACTTGGAGAGAGGGGTGAACCAGGCTTACAGACACCAAGGTCAGATAGAGTTCTTTTCCCTACTAAGATAACTCAAGAGTTGGGATGATCCAAACCACCTGACAGAATTAAACAAGAAGAGGAACCTGAGCTGAGCTCCTCCCCACATGTTATTTTGCCTTTGAATGAGGCTCTGTGGGTGGCTGACTCCATGTCACCCCCCTCCTTCCAGCACATTGCAGAGCATATGCTCTGACTTCTGCAGATGGCTGCTGGGGTGAGGCCAACCGCTGAGAGACCACACTCCCACCCACACCGTATGGGACAGGCACCCAGAGGGGGCTGGAAATCTGTGAAAGTGCTCAGGCAGTGGGCAAAGAGAAGCGCCCAAAACTCTATGGGAGCTTTCCATGATTTGGATTGATTACGTTGGTTCCCTAGAAGCGCCATGAGCAAAGCCCTGACTCCAGGACACAGGCACCAAGGAAACAAAGCTTATTGTATCCTTGGCTAGCAGAAGCAGACACTGGAGGCTAGACCTTCTATCTCCCCATCATCTTCTGCCTGGATCCAAAACCAGTGCCCTGTATTTTAGGGTTTTAATATAGGAGCAGATGGCCAAGGAACAACCAAAACTTCACTGTTGCTCACTGTGAGTGAGCATCTATTGTCCAGGTGATGGTGTGTGGCAGCCATCAACATACCATCAGCTGCTGTGGCTAAGCTCAGCCATGCGGCTGTTGGATGTTGGCCCCAGATGTTGGCTAAGGTTCTTATCTGTTCATCCCGAGCTCTGAGTCCAGTGGACAGTGGTTACCCAGGAGTTCTTGTCATGATGCTAAAAGGCAGACAAGGGGCAAGGTCAAGTCTACAAGCACATTTCAAGCTCCTGTTTATGCCATATCAGCTAACAACCTCTTCATCAGAGCAAGTCACTTGGCTGAGAGTGAGTATACGTGACCTCTCTAGGAAGGAGCCGAAAGCTCCGTGCTGAAGGCCTAGGTAGTGAGCCACTAAGGCCCATGGAACTTCTCAGCCTTCAGGGGCGTGGACAAAGTCTATCCTTAGAGTCAAACCTCCAGGCACAGGACAGCGAGGGGAATTAAAGAATAAGTAAAATCAACAAAAACTAATAAGGACAAACACTGTAGTTTGAGTTGTGCCATCTCGGGAAAGCATAGTAATGTGTACTTTACATCCCCCCGGGGACCTGGGAGGTGGAGGGCCGCTAAGGATGTGGTCTCAGGTCAAAGGAGCCTGCCTAAGTCCAAGCTCTACTCCTTCCAATCTGAATGAGGCTGTACAAGTTGCAGGTCTTCTCCGTTTCCTCGCCTGCAAAGTGGGGACCATAAAGATGGCTGCATCATGAGTATTATAAAAACGTGCCTACTATATTATGATATCTAATACACATTGCTGCCTATAGCCTCACGACCATACATTTTATGAGCATTTAATAGTTGGCAGAAAACAAGGAGCAGATACAAAAACAAAATAAAATTGCTTGCTTTATTATCTATGCTCCTGCAAGCATAGAGCATGCTATTTAAAACACGTACGGAATCAATCAAGGCGACCAGATAGTGTAAAGAGAAGATGGTGTGTACCAGATGCCCACCAAGACTCCTTTGATACACCGAGGACCTTACATACATTCTCAAACATGGTATTATTAAGGGCGACACAAGAAGAGCTTTCAGCCTCGCTTAGGATCAGATCAGAAGCCGTGTAGAGTTTGGGCCTCAGACAACCTGTAGCCCCTCATGCAGCCCAGCTTCCACCCACCCTCCTCTTAGAAGCTCGTAACGGTGGATCCGCTGTTAAAACGCCTTGTGTCTGACTCCTGTGCGGGGCTGACAGCGTGGCTCAGTCCGTGGGCCGGCTATACGTCTGCTGAGCCTTCTCAGTAGCTGCTTATCTCCTGCCTCTCCTCCAGAAGCAACTCGGGAATGTCTAGGCATCCTAGCAGAGCCCACCCATGCTGGCTAGACTCCAGATGGGCCGTGTCAGTTGTTGTCTTAGGGGCTCACTTTCCAAAGTCTCTTACAATAAGGACTGACTAGTGTGAAAAGAATCCAGGTTCATGGCAGTACATGGACAGAATCCTCGGAAACAGGCCCTTACCATTCTATCTCCATTCTTGGTCCCTTCGGGGGAGCTGTTTCTGTCTCCAGCTTTTATTCCCTTTCTTCTGATGCTGTGTCAGCCCTAAAGGCAGGCTTACAAATCCCCTTGGCGGTGGGGCTGAAGCAGTCGGGGCTTTGCTCAGAGCCTTCCCATGATGCTACCCTCCTCCTTTACCCACAGCCATCTTGAGCGAGCTCTTGCAGAGGGAGAATCGTGTCCTGCACTTCTGGACCCTGAAGAAGCGGCGGTTAGACCAGTGTCAGCAATACGTGGTGTTCGAGCGCAGTGCTAAGCAGGTATGTCCAGGACTCCCCTTGGCTTTGCCTCACTGCCAAGCAGCGCACGGAGGACCACAGCAGCAGGCAGAGTTAAGACAGGAGTGGAGGGGGCGGGCGGGGATGACAGGGTAAGGGAGAACAGGTTTCCCCTCGTCAGTCATTTGGACTTTCTAGGCATTCAGTTCTGAGTTTGACAGCAGAAGATTGAGTGGACTGCACAGGATTTCACTGGGTCTGGCCTATGATACACACCCATTCATACACAGTTTCTCACTAGGTCTGACCTGTGATACCCCTCGCCCCCCCAGTTTATAAAAAAGTACTAATTGGGTCTGATATATGATATCCCCAACTTTACTGCTTTGTGTTGGACTGTTCTAAAGTAAAAGTGGAACCTCTTTTACTTTAACAAAACAGCTTCCTCAGAGCTGCATACCCACCACCCTGTCGATTTTCCTGGGCACCAGCCCATAAGCCTTCCTCACCGTGTGGCACGTCTTCCCACTGGCAGCTGCCCTCTGGGGGACTAAGTGGTGGTGTTTCCTCCTACAGGCACTAGACTGGATCCAAGAAACAGGAGAATATTACCTCTCAACACATACCTCCACTGGAGAGACCACGGAGGAGACTCAGGAGCTGCTGAAAGAGTATGGCGAATTCAGGATACCTGCCAAGGTAGGAAGTATGCCATCCCCCTCCTGGCACTCCCCTTGTGGAAAGCTTTACCAACAAGAGCAGTCTGTGTACACAGGAATGTGCAGCCCTAGTGACGCAAGGGAAGCATGTTGGGGATTGTCTCCTTTGGGACCTAAGTTCTCCCCAAATTAGATATCCAAACAGGGCTGCTAATATACCTCACCATCGGGTTCCAGATTCAGGGGTCTCTTTTGTTCTCTCAGACCAGAGAAGGTAAAAGGGCACACTCTTGCAAACCTATGCATACATTATATACATCTTCCAGAGGTAGCCGGCCCTTGGACACTGTGGCATGTAGTCATCTACAGATGTGTTGGGCTACATGCGTGTCTCTCTAGGCATGCATGTGGCCTGGGGTCTGCAGGTCAGACATACCTAAATTCTACATGTATCTTCAAGTCTTGAAATTTGCATGTGTTGGGAAGTACACCTTATGGGATGGAAGAGCAACTCAGGAACGGATGAAAATACAGGGTGCCTATCAAATAGGCTGCATCCCAGACCTCCCCCGGTCCACCCGGCACCCCTGCTCTAGCTACTGCCTTGTTAGGGAAGCAAGAGCAGCCACTGAACACAGAACTGTGTGTTGGGAAGCCACTGAGGACAGGCTCCCAAAGCGAGCCTGTCCAGTTTTCAGACCTATTTCCATTTGTCCTCACACCTGCTAGTGACCAGGTCAGGTCTCTGGGGAGAAAACTCTACACACCTTCATTCACACCGAGGGAACAGGGATGCTGTAACGGAAGAAAACCTGATTTGTGCCAGTTTCCACAGCCAACATTTGACACGAGGACCCTCGTTTTGAATGAGGAGCTGATGTGACGGAGACCTCTCTCCGCAATTCCTTATGTATCTGCCTGCTTTGCCGAGCCAGTATTCAGAAGTAATTATCCATATCATGACTCGGCTGTGAACCCAGCGTTGGGCAGGTAGCCCTGCACTGCTGGGAGCTTCGGGGCCATTTGCCTGCTGTGGAGAGCTGTGAGTTCAGCACCAGCTAAGGGAATGGCAGAAAGAAGGTAGCAGATGAACAGAACCCTGTTCAGATCCAAACGAAAGTGGTTTTTGAGGTCACCGGTTTGGGTCTATCTGCCCCACCTCTAATGGTGCCGCCAGTGAACCATTAGTGGGATGAATGGTGTCAGCTCCACCTGTATGGGTGGACTAGAGCAGCGGCAGGACTTCTAGGGATCAGTCTACTCATGAACAAAGTGGAAACGCAGAGGATTCAATCACGTTAGCTTATCCTTCATAATCTGCTTCATAGCTTTGTCCTCTTCCATCCATCATGTCTGCCCCAAACTGATAACTTCTTTTTCGTTAGGTTGCATTCTCCTGGCTTTCCTTCCTTCTACTCCGTCCTACTCCTCTTATCTTTAAAGGGTCATTTTGACCACAGCATCCCTCCATTCAGGAACTTTAGTGGCCCCAGTGTCTTCAGCCTCTAGGGCCTCCCACATCACAGGGCCCTCATCAGTTGTTCCTTAGTACGAGTCTAGACTTCAGCAGAATGGATGTGCTTTCTTACCCTCCGGGAAACCCGCCATAGAATTTTGCCTCACTACCATTTCCAGGCAACTTTTCCACCTAAAATAGTGTCCCTTCTCTCTAGTTCGTACTTTGGAAAGAAGCCCACCTTTCCAGTCCAGTGCCACCTCATCAGGGCTCCCATCTACCTGCTGAATACCCCAGAGCCCTCCCCTGCTGTGCCTTCGGCCCTCTGCTGCACCAGCCATGTTTTCTCCCAGAGTCTGTGTGCAGTGCTATCTCCTACACCATCCCTGAAGACAGGAACCCCCTTTATTTGCCTCGTGCTCCCAGGTTACCTGACGCTGCTAATGTCACAACACACACGTGAACATTAGGAATCATGGCTAGGTTTCAGCACGACTGACTCAAGTCTATGTCCACGTGAATTGTCTAGCTTGGCTCTCCACTTCCTGTCTGCCTCCCAGCTGAACTGTGTCTGTTGGGAGTTACTGTCTTCCCATCCAACATCTTCTCCACCTCAGAGTTATTTGTGTCAGAATGCTTACTGGATAACTGAGGAGCCTCTGACTGAAGCCTCACCTCAGAGTTGCCACACCTCAGAGGCAACTCCCAACTCCCCAGAGGCAAGCTTCTTTTAACCAGTCAGCTCTGGCTTTTAAGTCTTCATAACCAGTGAAATGAACTTGATCGGGAAGCAAATTGGCCTTGAGTGACAGAGAAGAAATTGGATGCCCTCACAATTGAGTAGTACACAGGTTATGCTGAATTATGATACTCTGCTTCAGTGAAGAGATCAAAGGCGAAGAGACTGCATATAGAAAGGCAGTTTTATATAAAAACCTTCAAATATAGTAATAAAAATGAGACAGAGATTTGGCGAAGATAAGAACCCACAATTGCACATTGTAGCACGCCCATAGCCCATAGGCAATCAAGTTAGAAGACTACAAATGATACTTTCTATTGTTTCAAAAAGTACAGGGTAGAAGGCACTTGATGACAGGGAAGCTGAACTTCTCAGCGTCTGACACAACTCTGTTTCTTATAAAAACAAAGTCGTTTTTGGCTTTTTTTCTTTCTTTTTCCAATCCAGTGGGCGTTTTTTAGTATCTTCACAAGCTCATGTAATCATTGCGACAGCTGAGTTCCAGAAACCCTCATTCCCTCCTCTCCTTAGGCATGAGCCCCGGCTGTACACTTTACATAAATAGAATCATCCAGTATGTAACCCTCTGCATCTGGCTTCTTTCCCTTCGCGTAATGCTTTCAGAGTTCACCCGTGCTTCAGTGTGCGTCAGCGCCTCACCCCTAAATAATATAAATAATCATACACTAAACAGTCTTTCATAGCACAGGTCTAGCTTTCTCCTTTATCTGACGGACGTTTCCTTACTGCTTATCACACGAGTAATATTTAGTTTGTAGGTTCTGTGAATAACGTTACTATTAACACTGCACACAAGTTCCGTGTGAGCATGTTCTTTCAGCTCTCTCATATGTGCACATGGGAGCACAGTGGCTCAGCCTTACTGTGCCCCACTGTTTAATTTTGAGGAACTTCCAGTTCCAAAGCGGCTCTCAGCAGCAGCGTGAGCAGCAACCAGTGTCCCCGTGTATCTGTCAACACTATACTCCTGTCTGTCTGAAGGAGCAGGAAAGAGGGGGTTCCCGCTCTGTTACCCATGCGGGCTCAAAGCCCTGAGCTCAAGCGGTCCCTCCTGCTTCTGCCTCCAGAGTGCCCTGGAGTGCCCCACTCTTTACTTTCCCCGCCTCTTTTCTGTGTTCACACTTCTTCTCTGCAACCTACCACCTAACCCCATCTCCACGGTTCAGACCACCCGAGAAACCCCCCTCAGCTGAGCCACCATGCTGTCAACGTCCCTCTTTAAACAGATTCCTAAAAGCCAGGACCCCTGAAAAGTAATCGACCGTGTACAGATGGGCTATCCACGTGGGGACACGTTTTGACCTCTGATCTGATCAGCTGCAGCCAGGAATGTGACGGCTCACATGGTTTCAGACTATATCCTGGGGAGCCATGGCCGTGGTTGGTGTCCCATTGGGCTGATTGATCTAGCTTTGGTCACCCCTAAAGATTAGAGTTAGCATCCACTAGCTTACCACCCCCCCCCAACACACACACACACACACAACTCACCTCTAGACAGTGAAGACGGATGAGAAAGACAGAGCATTCAACTTTCAGGACAGGTTCAGGCCCACTGAAGAGGACTCTTGGGTAATTACCCAAGATACATGCTGAGAGAGAGGCCCCTACATGGGACCGTGGAAGTGTGCCCACCTCTGCATGAGCTACTTGGCTGAAGGCAGGACGCACTGGCACCACTCCCATTAAGGATGGAGCTGACACTCTGGAACTGTGGTTTAGCAGAGGAGACTGGCTCAGAGACGGGCCCCTGCAGAGACAGGCGGGCTTGGCCACACCGTTTGCTGACTCTTCACTCCCTGGCCTCCATGAGGACATAGGGTAATATCTCACAGGGTTTCTCCGTATCCATACAAGTCAGCTTCGATGCCATCTAATTCAGGTCCTAAAAGAAATGACACACAAGCCTTCAGGATCCCAGATGTCCTGTCTTCAACAGTTCCTGATGGAGTTCCTGCTGCTGTTTTGTGGTCGAGGGATCTTCCTCTAATCTTCGCATCCACCCCTTCCATTCGGAAGCCCTTCCAGCCCTTAACTCCCAGCCCCTGGCCAGCCCACCGTCCTGAAAAAGGAGAAGCTAATTGTGTTGTGCCGCTGGCCATGAGTCATACAGGGTGCTCTGCTCCCCTCTCTCGCATTTCTCTCTTGGGAAGGGATGTGAGCAAGCCTAGAAAGGGGTGTATAGGGTAGTCAGGGCAGTTAGAGGGCAATGGTGGTGGAATTTTAAAAAATGGGGCCCTACCATCTTCATCTGTTTGCTTTGTTGTAATGAATCAGTTGTTGGCCTTAGATTCTTGGTAAGAAGTTCGGACCAATACTTTGTCATGGTAAATTCCATTCATTAGCGAGAAAATGGACTACCCGTAGCTGAGCTTCGGCTCGTGCTGTTCTGTAAACCCGTGCTTCTCTTTCTGTGGTGACGATCTCACCTTCCAGGCGCCTGCTGCGTCTTGAAGTAGCGTCAGTGTGTTTGGGAATTTCACACTGAAACTCTGACGGAGGTGGCCATGGCAAGTTTCTGATGGAACTCCGTTGACAGGGAAAGTCCAGCTACAAGTAGCAAGGCCCTGTAGCTGCACAGACAAAACCTGTGGAATTCCCTCATGCTGATCCCAGAGTGCTGGTAGGGTACCTGTCTCTCACACCGGCCAAAGGGCTTCTGCTGTGGGGCTCAGCAGCTTCGTGCATGCCGTCCGTCAGCAGGATAGTAGTATCTGTGCGTCCTGTAAAGCTTATCTGCACGGGCACCAGCTTTCTCGTCAGCACTGAGCAGTCCTGTGACAGCAGCTAGAATCTCTTGGTTTCTACTTTTCCTTCTTGCACTTAGCGGCTGAGTGTCAGAACTTTCTAGAAGAGCACAGCATCTGGGGAGTAACTGCCAGCCCCCCTAACGAGGGCAGGGCTGCCCTCTCTCTCTTTCACCCTAAGGTCACCATTTTCAGCTCTGCCTGTGGCACCAGGCTGCTGGCTGCAGGTTTCTTTTTCTTGGTGTCAACCATGGTCAGCTTTTCACTCACCGTCTTGTGAGGTGACAAAGATCTGCTGTCTTTTCAATGGCTGCACCCATGATTGTTCTTCCCTCGTTGTAGCGTGGTCCAAACTTTGGACCTCCTTTTCTCAAAAGAACATTTTCCTCATAGCATATTATTTAAATGATATTTCACCTTCCTTAAGATTTCCCAGGCATTTCTGAGAAATTTTAGTTTCAGAATCCAGACTTATGCTAAAAGGTGAGCACGTGCTTGCTGCCCCTTGTCACTTCCGTTCCCCTGTCTTCCCCACAGGCCTTCCCTGCCTTCCCGTGCAGCTCTGCCTTCATCCCCTCCGTTGTAAACTCCGTCTGCTGTAACATACTTCTCACTTTGACATTCAATTACATGATGCCCTGAGCTGTCAACTACTCTATGAAGATCTTGTCCCCTCTGGAGATTTTTGATGGGGGCAAACAAATATCTTTCTTTTTTTTTTTTTTTTTAAATTTCTCCTTTTGTTTATCCCCCAAGCCCAACCCACAGCTCTCTGCAGACAACTGTAGACAGAGGAAATGCTGAACATACTCTTGTTACAAATGAAGTTAACCCAACACGTGTCAGAATTTTTGCCTCGTTAGCCCTGTAATAGGCACGGGTCACATTCTCCCTTTTATCTCCCTTGAGCGGAAAGACAAAATCTCATAGTGAAGCAGGTAAAAGTCTGCCAGCTAGGTTCATCGGATCCTAGCCCACGTGAGCTTACATGACGTTCGGTGCTTGCCTGGGGTACAGAGGATTAGAGACAGATGCTGCTGTCACTGCTAAAGGTGTGAATTTGCACCAGCTTTTAAAAGCCGAACCTCGAGTATTCACATCCGGCTCACAGAGGCTTGTCCCACCTCTCTCTGCGTGCTTCTTAAAAATGTTTCCAAGCTCAGATGAATCTCAGATCCGTGATGATAACACACTCTATAAGTTAATAGATGGCTATATTAACATAAGAGAACCTCACATCAATTGCTAGTTGGCTAACATTTCTGACTTCACTAGTTGTATGAACTTTCTCTGGAGACACAAGCAAATGCCTTCTCACCCAGACAAGGCACCAATGACAGACCAAAGAAACAGTTCCAGTCAATAGGAACACGTGTGAGGAGTTACTTACAGGAGCGTGAATTATAAGCCGCTGTACCACTAAAGAAAATGCCACTGCCCTCAGCAACTGTTAACTGCTTATATATCTTTTGGAATTGGTATGGCCTTATGAGAACTTATCCCTAGTCACTTTTAACTGCCTATAAATCTTTGGGAAGGGCAGGGCCATCCTGCATAGAGCCCACATCCTGCCTGGAAGACAAGCGTACCACAGCATAGGTTTTTACAGCGGCTCCAGTGAGCACCTACTGTGTTCCAGGCATGCTCTGCGTAGTGGAGGCATTGTTTGCTCATTAATGTCAGCAATAACTTTATGAGGCAGGTGCTCTTTACGGTTCCTATTTTATGTGTAAGGAACTGACTGAGCACAGGAAGTTTTAATAATTTGATCCAGGCCACCCAACAGGCGAGTAACAAAGATGCCGTGCAAACCCAGGCATCAGCTGAGGGGGTACCAGAGCAGGGTGGGGCTTGGGGCAAAGAGGCCTGGGAATGCTGTGATGGAGTAACGTCAGGCCGTCTCTCGGGGCAGCAAACGAAAGAGAAGGTAAAGCTTCTGATCCAGCTGGCGGACAGCTTCGTGGAAAAGGGCCACATCCACGCCACAGAGATACGGAAATGGGTGACCACGGTGGACAAGCACTACCGGGATTTCTCCCTGAGGATGGGGAAGTACCGGTACTCCCTGGAGAAAGCCCTGGGTGTCAACACAGAGGTAAGTCGGAGCCGCTGTGCTGTCCGCTGGAGCCGCCTCCCTTCCCCTCTCCCTCAGTGCCACTCTCCTCCTCGCCACTGAGGTAGCGTGTTTCCCCAGGGCAGTCCTTCCGAGCTGTGGACCCCATGAACCTCGTGCATTTTTAATGGGCTTGGGGACCGTACTGGGCCATTCATCTCAACCCTCATGATTAATGGTCTGTGTACCGCAGAATGGGCTGACCAGAAGGAAGGCCGGTGAATCCAAAGCAGGGTTTTTTTGTTGTTTTTCTGTGTAGTTAGCTGTTGACTAACCCCTTTATTTTGGTCTCATCAGTAGTCATCTAACCAATTATGTTAATAAGCCAGAGATTAAAGTCCCTTGTATATCTACAGATGATTTTCAGGAATAAGGGGCACAGTACGCAGAAAGACTGACATTTCAACTAAAAGACAGTACTACGTGCCCCGAAGCGAAGGAAGACTGACTTTTAATCTCTTTTTTATAGTAGAGGTCTGTAACCTATGAATCAAAAGCTAAATCCAGCCTGACATTTAGTCCTAGGATTTCTAACTCATATATCTTTAAGCAGGCCCATGCTCTGACACAGAGTGGCCTCGAATAAAGTGGTCAAATCACTAAAACTTGGGTGCTTAATGTCTCCCCCGGGCCATGAGTTCTCTTCTGTGGGTCCCATCAGACATAATACCAGTGATGGCTTAAGCAAGCAGGGATGAGCAGTTACAGGGTCCAGTCATTGATCAGGTATTATGTTCCTGTTTCTAAGGGAGAGGCTTGTTTAAATCAAAATAGTTTGTTTTCTCTTGATGGATGAGAGGCTTTCAGTCTTCCTGTATTTCTGTTTCACATTTATTTTGTTGATGAAGAACCAATTCTGGCTAATCTGTGTTTAGATTTAATCAGGGCCAAAGGCCTGGAGAACAGATACATAATGTCTGTTGCCACAGATCGTATCACTAAGTATTTGGCCAGAACATTCTACACCTTTTTTACTTGAAAGGAAGAGTTGCCCCATGAAGGCCTTGTGGGGTGGGACCCCGTAGGATCCCCCATCTTGTCATCCTCTTCCATTAGATTGGTTCCACCACTTCCACCAACTTGTCTGAGGGGTTTCCCTAAGGCTTCCCCAAGGTGACCTCTGTGGCACTTCTCATGCAGGATAACAAGGACCTGGAGCTGGACATCATCCCAGCAAGCCTCTCAGACCGCGAGGTCAAGCTCCGGGACGCCAACCATGAGGTCAATGAAGAGAAGCGGAAGTCAGCTCGGAAGAAAGAGTACGTGTTGTGGGGTTCCCGCTGCAGCTAGCAGGCTCTTCCTCGGTTTTCCCTGCCACCCATCCCTTGTGAAGGCCTACTGCGTCATCTTGTTGATGTGGAGGTGTTGGGGTGGGCATTGAGGGGGTAAGCTCTCTAGAGACCTCTCAGCCTCTCTTTTCTCTCCTGTATCTAAGGGCTCTTCGTGTAGCAGGGGCTCCCCGGGGGCCAACCACCCCTCGGACCATCAAATTTGACTTCCCAGTGTCAGACCTCAACAGGAACCAAACCAAACCACCTCACGTGTTAGAAATCAGATCTAGGGAAGCCAACCAACTCTCCCAGATGCCACAGTCCGTCTGTAATAAACAGATCCAGAATTCTGACTCTTTAACCATTGCATACCCCGTGTTTCCTTTCTACTCCGTCCCTCACCAGCTCCAAATTTCAAGTGGCTTCCTGTGGCCCTCTGCATAATGATCCGACTCCTCAGTGTACCACCTTTGGCCCCACCCATGTCAGTCTTATTTCAGGGTGCTTCCCAGTTCAAGTGACTGCCAACTGACTCCCTCAGAGGCAAGAACATTAGATAACCGTTGCACCTGCAGTGTTCCCAGCCTAGAACCCTCCTCTTTTGATTTGCTTATTTCCTTCCCTCTTTTGTGCTTTTGCGTGTGTGTGTGTGTGTGTGTGTGTGTATGTGTGTGTGTGTGTGTAGTTTCATTTGGTCCCCCCTTCCCCCCACTTTTCAACCCTATTGAAATCCAGCTCATACCATATGCCCATATGCCTCTGGCATTCCTTAGCTACATCCTCTGCTGCCGTTGTTCCATCACTTTCTGAACATCTATACTTCCTTTTACTGATTCGGTGGTCATGTCTCACTAACCAGATTAAACTCTTTGGTGATAAGGAGTTTTTTATACCCTCTTATGTGAGCCAGTGGTTCCCAGAGTAACAGGGAGACCAGAGTTGGCTAAGAGATGTTTTTAAAATGTTACTGTGTATGGAAACTGAAACCTTAGGTAAAGGATAGGAAGTTTCCTAGAATTACATCACAGATAAACCCGATAGCTGAATACAGTGCCGCATTCCTCTTATGTCATCACTCAGGAGATTAAGGCAGGAAGACTGGCACGCCAAGGCCAGTCTGAGCTATACGATGAGATTCTATCTTAAAAAAAGAATTTAAGAAAGGACTGAAGGCTGGGAGGAAAAAGGAAGGAAGAAAGGGAAGGGAAAGAGGAAGGGAAGAATGAAAGGAAAGAAGGACAGTTGATAACATCTGAATTTTGGGTTAGAAGAAATGGGATTCTACCATCTCCCCTCCCCCGTCCCTACATCTTGTTCAGATATTTGCCTGGTGAGTAATATTTTAAATGGAAAGGAAGATGCACCTTGAAACTGGCCCCAAGAGTGAATTGTAGATGCCAGAGGTAAAGTTGATACCTAAGTTTACTCCTCTCTCACAGATGGCCCATGTGGTGATGAGACAGTTGAGACAGAAAGGGGATGCAAAGATTCAAATATTATGGGAGAATCTGACGTTACGTGAGATTTCCATAAACTGAATCCTTTTTTTTCCTCTCTCTCAGAATAAGAATGGCTAGAGCCAGAATACATTTAGAGAGCTGGGATCAATTTATCATTAGATTCCTGCTCTGTTCTCCAGTTTAGCTAGCCCTCTGTATTCATGAGTTCCACACACACACACCCCCATTTAACTATCCCTGGATTATAAATATCCAGGAAAAAATTACGCCTGTACTGAAGATGCAGAGACTATTTTCTTGAAATCATCTTCTAAACTGTATAATGGAGCAACTCTTTGTGTAGCGCTCACAGTGACTTGGGCATCATTATAACTGAGAGCTTATTTAAAGTGCATAGGGATGTGTGTAAGTTATATGCAGGTACCGTGCCATCTTATAGGAGAAACTTGAGCAGCTGCAGATTGGGGTACCCACAGGAACCCTAGAATCAATCCCCTGGGGCTACATTCTCAGTGAATCTTGACCACAGCTAGGCACAACACATTGCCCTTTTGGTTGGTGACATAGGAGATGGTCGACTCACATTTCGATTAATCAAGAATTACAGGGCCGTGAACCTGGGATGAATGAGCCCCATCAATCTTACAGGATCTTGGTACTTTACTTTCTTCAAGCTGAGGTCATAAAAATCACACGTATGCAGAGATCGTGAAAGGAGCTTTGTGAAGACTGTTTTATTACATTCTGAGTAATACTAGAAAGAAAAAAAAAAAAAAACAGTGAGTCTGGGATTAAGTAGTTAATTTTATCAAAATGGAAAGGACACTGCAGCTTCCTTAAGACCGAAGCAACAAAAGCCAGCCTGTGAAGCCAGACTGTCCTTGCCTTGTGCTGGTTTGTAGAGCTGCATAACAAAGTACCACAGCTGGTGACTTCAGCAGAGATCTGAAACCAAGGAATGTGATGCTTCCCTTCCCTCTGAGGTTAGAGTAGACAAGATCTGCTTCAGGCGTTTCCCCTCATTTGTTGGTGGAACAATTAGATTCCCGTGACATTCTTCCTGAATATTTAGGCCTATGTGCAAATCTCCCCTTCTGTAAGGACATTGGCCATTTTGGATTGAGACCCACCCTACTCTGTTCTGCAATGATCATTCCAAATAAAGTCAAGATCTGAAGAACGGAGGGATGGGATTTTAATATACTAACCCTGGAGGACATGATTGAAGCCGTAACAGAGAAGCCAAGCCTGCCTAGCTTCTTTCTGAAGCAGTAGAGGAAAAACAAAAGCAAGCAGCAGGTAGTGGAGTAGCGGAAGGTTAACACAGAGGAAGCAAGTAGGAGGGAAGGAATATGAGAAGAAAGGAAATCCAAGGCAAAGACCAAAGAGGACTTCCCAAAGCCGTCTGAGCTCCTCCACATCTTCCCTGGTTTCATAGCCACCGACAGGCTTAATCTCTGAGCATTTCCCAGGATCCTCTGCACCAGGCTGTTTCTCACATGAGCTTACTCAATCCCTGCAGCAGTCCTGGTTTGTCAGCTGTGTTAGAGACACGGAGTCCTGAGGTCTGGAGAAGCAGGTCCAACTTCAAGTAATTGACAGATTCGTAATTCAGTTCCTGTTTCTCTAGGCAATACTCACACACGTTCTGCCCTATCAACAGAGGACAAATAGGAAGAGACTGGCTAATTGACTTCTGCAAAAGTGAAGTCTTTACATCAATCCTTCAGCTCTAGTAGAAGGCCACTATCAGAGAGATACATTACTTTAAGGGAAAGCCCAGCAAGATGAAGATAAGATACTGCTCGAACAGTATTTCTGGTCATGCTTCCAAAAGGACACAGCTTGGGGATATTATTTCTCAACTTTTTTCATGTGACAGAACACCTGAAAATAGGAGTGCTCAGTGTGAACGATACGAAAAACTGAAATGTAGGATAAGCCTATAAATGTGTAGTTTGTACTAAAAATAGGTTGTTATAGGCCAGCTGACAAGCACTGTTTCTAATAAAAATTTGTGAAGATAAAAAAGTAAAATACATGCACAATAATCAAATCATACATGCTCAGGACCATTGTGTTATTTAGGGGTCCAAGGAGGGAGTCCTTTCCTTAAAGATACAGAGCATAAACCTCCGTTCTCAGGAGTCGGAAGAGCATCACTCACTGTTATGAACTAACACTACACATGACAGTTTCGTGTGCTTAGGTTTGTGAGGCAAATAAATCCCATTAGAGACACTCCCTAAATACCAAAGAGGACCCCCCCAAGGTCAGAGATCAACAAACTGTGGCCCATAGGTCACATTGGACTCCACCTCTGCTTTGGTGTATAGTCTATAATCTAAAAATGACAGCTTATATGCTAACTGCTTGAAGACAAACCCAGAGACTATAGTATGGGGACATACAAACCTGTTAGTGTCCTGGTCTCACTGGAACACAACTGCGCTATCTCTGTGCTCCCTCTCACGCTACAGCAGCTGGGCCAAGTGGTTACAGCAGAGACGGGACAGCCCACAAAGACAGCCCGCTTCTTTACACGTCTGCCGGGCTTGGAACCTGTTTAATCCGAGTACCGAACTGTTTCAGTGTTAGTCCATAAACCACTGAGCAGATACCGTCCTGGGAGCTGTGAGAGAGCCGTAGGACACTGCAGTTCAGACTGTCTAGCCACCAAGCTACAACGGGAGCACCCGCGTCTTGCTCACTCACACAGTTGACCGCCCGTGCCTATCAGCACAGTGAGGTAGAAATAAGTAGGAACAGGCCAGAGAGTGGAACTGGCGGAGCACAGACACGGAGAAGGGGTGGAGAGCAACTGGCCGGGGTAAGGGGGACTGGGCAGAGGGAGGAGCTTTGTTGGCATGGTTGAAAATAGGACACTCAAGTGCCACAGCGCCAGGGTGAGGAAGTGAGGTTGGAGAGGAGGCAATGCACCCGTAAGCAGCTGAAGGCCCGTTTGTTTCCTCCTAGATTCATTATGGCTGAATTGCTCCAGACGGAGAAGGCTTATGTAAGGGACTTACACGAGTGCCTGGAGGTAAGTCTCGCAGGGATCAGCCCCCCCACCTTCACTACAGAAGGGCACCCTGGCCTTTGTCACACCCTCGAGAGCAGCTGGGCGCTCTTCGCCTGCTGCTGACGAGAAAAAAGGCAGTTGGGGAGGTCTCGCACTGGAGCTAGACCCAAACCAAAAAGAAAAGAAAAAGAAAGAAAAAAAAAGATGGCGGGGGAGTGGGTAGAGAAAAGTATTCCAGTGCTTCATTTCAAAACATGACCTGTGACACAGGTTTAACAAATAGCAAGACTGGTGCCTGCCCATGCTGAGGTTCTGAGTGACGGAGCCGCCAGGTTCCCACTCTTCCTGTTCCACTTGTTAAACGCTTCGCCTTCCGCACTCCATCTGCAATCGCAGCCCAACTCTTGCCTCACATGGTTGAGGGGCGTCTTCTGCCCGGGTCTCCCATGGCACGCTTGCCAGTGCTGGCTCTCTCGCTGTCTTGCAGACCTACCTGTGGGAAATGACCAGCGGCGTGGAGGAGATACCCCCTGGCATCCTCAATAAAGAGCACATCATCTTTGGCAACATCCAGGAGATCTACGACTTCCATAACAAGTATGTTGGTGTGGGGTTCCACTGAGCACACTGAGGGTGCGCGTGCCAGACATCCGGCTGCCCGTTGAGTGGCTCGGAGCCACTGGTCAACCTTCTGTTTTACCCGACACGGTCTCTCTCCCCTGGTCAGATCTGGTAGTCAGCTACCGTCAGACACCTTTCTTGTTTACCCTACCTTCGCAGTCATTCAAAATGCTCCCTGGAAAGAGAAGCGGCTGTTCTGCAGTGCGTTTTCCACTTCTCATGAGGAGCAGGCAGCATCCTCATTTGCTAATGAACATGGTTACCAGAGCCTTGAGGAAGCAGGAGTGGCTTTACCCCATTGAAGCTGTGGGGAAAACTGCCTACGGCGTTCACGTGGGACTAACCATCCTACATCTGTGCCCTCTGGCTTTCAAATCCTATTCAGCTTCTGTCTCAAGCTGTTTCCTCCATTCCTGACTATCCCATCATCCTTACCATCAACCATTTATGTCTATAAATATACCAAAATATTTGGTACATCACATCTCTTGATAACCTACAGAAGAATCATCAATCGCCACTATGTTTTTGTTGAATGAGAACAGTAAAACCTCACAGCCCATTTTTCTAAGCTCCAAGCTTGACGTAAGTAAGAATCCTTCCTGTTGCATGCTAAACATGTCTGCTGTCAATAGATGTTCAGCAAGAATGCTAGTTTGACCAACTGGTAGAACTAACCTGGTTTCTAAAATTCAAGTAGGGAGAATCTTGAGATACAGGAAAAAAGTGTGACACAAAGTCCTGGGGCCCCCTCAGGAGCCTGCCACAGAGAACGTTGAGTGAGGCTAGTTCTGAGACTTGGTGAGCTGAGACTGAGACCCTGGAGACAGCACAGGCAGCCTTACAAGTCCCAAGAGGACCGTGTGCATAGGTGGAGAGGGAACTGTCTGCAGAGGTGAAGTCTGTCGTGTACCGTCCAACACTCTAACCGTGGTGTACGCACAGCTATTGAACCCCTAAGCGGCTCAGTCTGTGTTGTTCTTAACTTTAATACATTTCCATAGTCAAAAGTGAAAAAAAGAAAGTGGCTGCCATACTGGACAGTCCCACTCCGGAAAATGAAACCTCCATGGGGCTCTCTGCTAAGAATGACCCCCAGGAAAGCAAGAGTCGGTGTGAAAAAAAAAAAAAATGCTGGGCTCTGAAAGGGACGGAGAGTAACCGTTGTGATGGGTAACTCCATCAAGTTAACAGTTAAAATGGCATAAACTGTTCAGCTCCCACAGCATGCTAACCCGTTGGTAAATGCGGGGCAGGAGGAGATGTGTTCTGCCACTCTAGACTGTTGATAAAAACTTCCACTCCTTTTTCCCCCATCATAAACATCCTTATTGGTTGGGGATTTAGCTCAGTGGTAGAGCGCTTGCCTAGCAAGCGCAAGGCCCTGGGTTCGGTCCTCAGCTCTGGAAAAAAAAAAAAAAAAAAGACATAAACATCCTTATTTGGTTTACCTGCCAATCTCCAGACACAGTATTTTGTCTTCACAGCAGTCATTAGTAAGACCCTACTAGATCGGTTCTTAACCACTGACCCCAAATTCTATAACCTGAGCCCAGCCCAGGACCTCATCTCCCCCAGGATACCCAAGAAGACACCAGACTGGCAAATGTTAAACCTCCTCACTTTATTTATGTGAGCGTGGTCTCGAATGCCAGCAACAAACCTCACTTTCCTCGGGTTCACCCCACACCAGCTGAATGGGCATCTGCACACCACCACAGGGCGTGCTGCCCGCCCGCTCTGCTGTCCCCGAATCGAGGGCAGAAAGACTGTGCGCTTTAAAACTGAACAGTTAGTAACAACGGATCTAACTCGGCTCTGCTTCCTACCCTAACTCCACGGCGTCACTCTAGTAGGCCATGATAAAATGATTTTATAGTTTTCTAAATAGCTGTCATTCTACCTCTAACTTACAAAATGTAGCCCTAACAAATTCTTTTTATATTCAAATTAAACCATGTGAAATCCTGCACTGAGTGAATGGGGGAAATAGATGCTTTCCCTACCGCACTGCCAAGCTCGTTACCTATGCAGAACAGTAAAGAACCACACTAAAGGATGTCACGAAGATTAAACTGCCCTCTTTCCGTAGCAGCAGCCCTTTGTCCTCCCCACCAGCCTCTTTATTGCTTGGTTATATAGCTTCCTACACTATAGTAATTTAGAGGCGATAAATATTATCAGTATCACCTGAACAAATGAGTAGCTGAGTGAGCAGCAGTTTGAAAACCTGAAAGGAAAGAAGACAAGCACGTGGCAGAAAAGAAAAGGGAAAGATGCTAGAGCAGAAACGGAAGCAGCGGGTAGTGGCGCACGCCTGTGATCCCAGCACTCAGAGGTTGAAGCAGGGGGATATAGGGCTCAAGGCCAGCCTGGGACATCATCATGGCCAACGGCTGCTCAGTGTTTGTACAGAGCATTCTGCATCCTACTATCTGGTCAGCAAAGCCACTGTATTGCAGTATGGCATGATAACTGATATTAGTAATAATGCTGAGTTACTGGATATCTGCATTCAAATCAAGGAACTCTGAAGCATATTTAGAAAGCTACCGACTAAAAGAAATTAATGTTTTAAATTATGCACAACTCAAAGGAACATCCAAGGATCTCAAGCTGTGTATTAATGTCCTATATTAGCCGGGGACTGATGTACTGTGTGCTTTCTGCTTAAGCCACACAGGTTTTGATGAATAGAGAAAATATTAGAAATCTAAAATCTCTAATAAATAAAGATAAAATGGTAATAGGCCAAACTTGGAAATAGGAAAGGCTATAAACTCCTTAGAGAACCATGCTGTTTACTGTATATCCAGTATCTGGTACCATGAACCTAGCACGAGTATGAACTTAACAATGAGTATTTGCTGGGTGGTGGAAGGAAGGAAGGAAGAAAGGAAGGAAAGGAGGGAGGAAGGGAGGGAGGGAAGGAGGAAGGGAGGGAGGGAAGGAAGGGAGGAAAGGAAGGGAGGGGAGGGAGGGAAGGAAGGAGGGAGGGAGGGAAGGAAGGAGGGAGGGAGGGAAGGAAGGATGGATGGAGGGAGGGAAGGAAGGAAGGGAGGAAGGGGGGGAGGGAGGGAAGAAGGAAGGGAGGGAGGAAGGAAGGAAGAAAGGAAGAAAGGAAGGAAGGAAGGATGGATGAATGAACTAACTAGTTAATGAATGGGCTAAAAATAAAATTCTATCTTGCAAACTTAGAGCTACTTCCAAGTAGCTAATCGCCTGTGAACATCTCAAAATGGAGAAAAGCTCCTCTATGTGACTTTTCCCTGCATCACTTCCATAGCCTCCCAGACCAGCAAAATATTCAGATTTCTAAATGAAGGGATTTTCTGGAAGCATCTTCACAGAGCGACATGCAGTTGCTATAACACTGTCGGAATAGTGCACTCCTCTGAAGCCATCAGCTATTTAGCCTGACATTACCAGGGGCTCTGCTTAGCTCCCTTTGTTTGTATTCTCAACATGCCATCCCGGTGCTGCCCATCAGAGAAGCACACCCCCCTCATGGCTAGTCTGTGGCCTGGGTTATATCCACCCATAGTTCAGCGTATAGTACATAAAAGCAGTGCTTTCACCCCAGCTGGAAGTGGACGTGGCCTGAGAGCCTTTTCCTCCACTCTCCCCACTTGCCCTTCATCCCTTTTTTGTACAGCTGAACAAAAGATAATGACCGCGCTGTGTACACAGGGGTAGGCCCGTCTCCATTGCATTTTGCTAAGCCTTCCCGGAATACTTAGGCAAAGGAGTATATTCTGTAAATAGATCCGCCAAAGAGTAAAGTTTTGCTAATCTAAAATTTGCAATTAAAAAATTTGTTTTCACCCTGCCTTGTTAGCTATTCAGCTTCGATAATGACAGCTTTTTTGTTAAGGTACTTCTCCTGCAGTTAAAGTCCAACTCTGCCTCTTCCTTTCCAGTCAATTAGAGATTGACTCATATTCATATGAATTTGAAAAGAAAATTTAAATGCAGTCTGTACTGTGAGGGCCCAGAGGATCCTCTCAACTGTTATGTTTAGCCCCCTTCATTTATAGTAAAACAAACAAACAAACAACAACAAGAAAAAAAACCACGTGGCACTAAAGAGGAGACAGTGCCTTGCCGGACAGTGCGCGCACGCGCGCGCACACACACACACACACACACA